TCTCAAATACGAAATACAACTTAATATTTCATGGTAATAAAATATAATTAGTGTAAAAAAAAAAGCTAACTTCTAATAAATTAAAAATGTATTAGAATTAAGGAAAATCTTATTTGTTACACAAAGTAAAATTATTCTCTGTGATAAATGTATTGCTTAAAAACAAATAAATGACAAACATCAAATTGATAATTAATATTAAATATAGTATGAATAAGCTGAAAATAGCTTAATTTAGAGTAATGTTTTCTTAATCCAACAGTGCCAAAACGTATAATATATATTAATACAATTAATAAAATATAAATTTAAACACTTAGTTTGGCTAACTTTTGTTATTTGTTATTTTTATTAGAGCGTACGTTCATGCTTTAAATATTTAGTTATTTGATACCTATCACATTATTTTTCATTATTGGTTACCCAATAATATAAATATAAAAAATTCTTTTAAAAATAAAAGATGCATTCTATTAAAGGCAATCTAATTAGATTTAAGTAAAAATAAATAAAAAATAAATTAACTCTAACAATTATGAAAAGACATTTTTATGATGACTCTTTCATCAAAATAACTAATATACCTACTACGAGTATATGCAAACATTTAATACATATAAATAATATTATGATGATTGTTATTAATTTGTGGACATTTTTTTTCTCATAAAAGAAAAAGATGATTTTGTTTGAAAAATATTTAAATACACAATTTGTTATTATTATAGAATTGAACTATAGAAATCCAAATTGTCCGAATTTAAATTATGACTATATTATATTATTATAATTAGGTATGTATTATTGCATCTTATTTGTGTGTTAATAAACGCATAAGTTATTGTTATACATAAGTATATTACCTATCGCCGTATTGGAAGTCCGTACTCGCAGTGTTACCACATCTCCGGCTTCTTGGAGTATACTACTTGCTTCTTGTCTAGTGCAATCACTCAGTGATTTATTATTCACAGCCAGCAATGTGTCTCCAATTTTTAATGTGCCCGATCGATGAGCTATAGAACCAGGTACGATTTCCGAAATACACACTTGCCCGTTGCCATCGTCTATAAAATATATATATTATATAAGCACCGATCAATGCGATATGATCAATAGTTACAAATTTGTATAGCAAATGCGAAAAAAGATATTGTCATTGTACAATATTATATATTGACACATTGTACTTGTATGTATTATTAATGTACGTAATATACACGTTCATGGTGTTTACCTGTAATCGTGATTCCGAGACTTCTGTAGTCATTTTTCAACAACTTCACTGTGAATTCTCCCGACGTGGGAACTACAGAGTCTGTTATATCAAACTCCACCTTGATGCAGGCATTTTTTACTTCAGGTCCTAAAAAATCGTGCAGTGGTTGCTGGAATAAAGGCACGAAACTGGTGCTCTTGCACCCGTTCACAGACAGTATACGATCTCCAACTTGCACGCAACCGGTTCTAGAATACCAAAATGTATATTTAAAAAGAACGATTAAGTCGCGAAAAAAGTACATATTTCAAATAAAAGCAACCTGTCAGTGGGTCCTCCTGGTTCTATATAACAAACGACGAGTGCCAAGTTATTGGATCGAACGTCCATTCCAAACCGACCGTTTTCGTCGGCCACCAAAGTCAATATAGTGTAATCTACTCGTACCACGTTATCTATGCACAAACCAATTTTGATGAAATTTAAAATATGATAATCAGACGAAAAAGTCTACGTGTATGCATATTATATGATGAACAATCTTACGCGTTTCCGTTGGTTCCCAAACTACTGGATCGATGGGATCTTCGTATACAGAGTACAAATGTTGACGTGAATCGTACGACGAACAATCTACAAAACGTATTGGTAATAGGTATATACTATAATTTATAATGTTAGGTACATAAATATCGGTACCTAATGTCAGTGGCATATTTGAGGGAGATGCAATAAGCCCGCTCGAGAGCTATATTTTGTATCATAGGTACCTATTTTTTTACCTTGGTAAAAATTTTGATACAACTTAATTTTTAATTAGAAAATATGAATTGCTTAATTTAAATTTGGCAAGCCATGCAGTTTAATATTTAATATATCCTTAATCATGGTAAGTGATTACACAAATACACATATAGCTATCATATTATATATGATGCCTTTCTTTGTCCTTTTTGTTGGAGAAATGAACACTCAAATACAAAACTGTCGTCAATCGTCATCCATAACAGTAAATTTAAATTAAAAATATATGGACTTTGAAAAAACAACTTTTATAACAATTATATAACTTGTATGGTGGTATACTCAAATATGGAATTTAATGGTACATTCGCACTTACATTCGGCGTGTATTAAGTCTGTGGTAAATGCCGGTATTATTTCTAATCTGAGAGTGGACTGAGCGCCACCACACGTTCGTAGCAGTTTGTACACGTCACTGGCCGCTGTCCTTAGCCCAGCCACCCTCGTATCATTGACGGCCACTATCTGGTCGCCCGGAAATATAGCACCACATCTTCGGAAAAATATAATTTCACATCACGGTAATATGTATTGTTAAAAGTATTAACTACAATTAATTTCTTCAACAGCTTACAACATTTATTAATAAGAATAATACTTAAGAGTGAACACTACATAACTAAGTTCCGAGTGGTTCGCACTGCACTTAACTAACTAATACTAGTAATACTACACCTGTAAACGTGTTATTATCAGGTCCCCCTTTTCTCACTTTACCTCATAGAAGAGTAGGGAACACTGATGAGTGTTAACAAAAGTACATAGTGGATATTATACTAGAATGTTAAAGATCACCAATTTAAATTATTCAAAATTTCGTAAACGAGTATACGGGGAATAAGATACTTACCGCTCGGCAATGCTTCCAGGTTTTACGTGATCAACTACGACAGCGCTATTATTGATCGTGTTTGTCAACGTTAGGCCTAGTTGATGGGGTCTTGGGCTCTCAACTTCAACCAACATTGGACAAGTGGTGTTACCGACTCGATCCGCCGCCGATACTTGGTATCGCACGGTCAATCGGCATGCCCCGTCCGACTGTCTGAGTATTGCATCAGCGTCAGCCAGTATTAAACCATTCAACGAAACACCGTCCACGGCTAATAAATGATCACCAACCTTAATTGTGCCTTCTCTAAAAATAAATCAATGTATTAAACATAAATTATTTCACTTATTTAATAACTTAAGTTGTAGTTACAAACTACACTATAACTGTACAAGGAGTAACAGAAAGACCTGACAAATGAAAAATAAAAATTGTCAATAGTTAAAATATGAACAATTATGATTATCTTGTATGGATAATAAATAATTTAAGATTTACTTAAGTCCGATAATTTCCAAAAAGAATATATAAAAAAAAGTTTTTATGTTTAAAATTAATTTACTTAAAAAAATATTGATATTTTTAAAAAATAAAAATAAACTACTTGACTTATAAATAAACCTTTTTACCATCATTTTTCTAATAATTAGATTTACAAATTGGTTATTTCAAATTTTTTCTAAAAGAATTTAATTAGAATACTACATAGTATGTAGTACACTTATAATTTTTATCTTCCGTAAATGAAAATCAACAACTTTATACAGAACTTATAGCGTCCATTAATATAAAAAAAATTATATTAACTGGTACAAAAGTTATTTCATTTTAAAGTTATTCGGTTACATCTTGTGTAAAAACGTTAGAACTGTTATTTGGTCAATAAGCTAGCAATTATAATATTTGTATATGCTTATTGCTTCTACGATTATTATATCAATTAAATACTGAAATTTCAATGTTCTGTACAGTCTATTTCTTTATATTAATACCTTAATTAAAAACGTTTATATTTCAAATATTATATGTATAAGCAGGATAGATCTGGTTAATATATGCAGGGCCAGCTTGAAGGAAATTCACGTTGAGCTATCACCCAGAACGAGTTATTCGTCAATTGACCGTGGTACAAATTTGTCGTATACTTCAGTTTGATAAGTCTCAGACCAATTGCTGGAAATCAATTTCATACGACCAATTGACCGTACGTCGCATAGATCCCTGAGCATTTATGATATTCCCACGGTCGATCGGAATAAATAAATTATTGAGCGATTATTGGTGGTTGATAGTTTTTTTTTTTTAATTCAATGAGATTTTAATAGAAATAATTGCATCTTGTAACTATTATTTTGAGAGGGACTAAATGCAAGAGAAAAAAAATAAAGATATTAATAACAGAAATGAACAGATCGTGGTGTGTAACTGTGTAAGGCACATAGACACATCGATTTTTAAACCAATTTGATGGATAAAATTAAGGATGGATTTTATTGTGATGACATTATTGGAGGAAACTGGAAAGAGGAACATTTTAGCTCAGTGGAAGAAAAAAAGTAATTTAAATTTTAAATATATAATATACTATAGCGTGGGAGAGAAGGACAGTGATAAAATATAGATGTTGAAAGAACCACAGTTAGGTAGGGACATAGGGTCATAGGGACATAGCCATATAGCCATATAGGGTACAATATGAACTGTTATTCCACCAGTGAGGTCAATGTTTATTACATATTTCGGATTTAGTATTAATAATTGATTAGTTTTTATTAATTACAATATCCATTTTATTAAATGATGGAATTAATTGGTTAGTTAGCTGGAACGAATTGTTTTCATTTATTCATCCAGTCACCCAGGTTCATCGATAAAATCAGACTATAAAATCGAAGCCCCCAAAGTAACACCAAAACACGACTCCGAATAGAGGCTCGCCAACTACATTTTACACATAGGTAGTCCCGATATCAGCCAGATCACTGATTATATGATAACATTATTTATTATTATAAATTATGATGAGTTATTAATTTTCCATCAATTTACATTGTTTGAACTATAATCTGGAATCAATTTAAGTTTTAATTGGTACTAACCTGTCTGCGGGTCCATCGGGTCTGACGTGTGTCACGGTCAAAGGCTTGCACATGTCAGGATCCGGATGTGCACCACCACGCAGCACTATCCCGAGACTACCATCTTCCCGTTCGATGAACACATCGATGATTTTGTGTTTCACATACTGATCTGAAAATTAAGACTAAAGGCGTATACACTAAAATACCCATCAAGTTATAAGAAACTAGGGTTTTTATGAAAACAAAGATGTAGATGTGTTTTCTACCAGTTTCACTATCCTAAATAATTCAAGTCCTATTAATTTTCCAAATGATTACATATGCCTCAATTCATAGCTAGATAATTTCATTGGAATCTTTATGATTTTCGTTTTTCAATTGTCATATATACAATATACTATTCCCTATTTACCTATTTTAAATATTTATGACTTAAAATTGTAATAAAGTACCTACCAACTTACCTATATACCCTATATACCAAATATCTAAAATGCTCTTTCGTCGTGATCTTAATATTTTTATATTTATAAAACACCTTTACAGTTCTATATAGCTACATCACTACCATTACACCACTACCCATGCGAAGCTCCATTAATAATTAAATATTAGGTAACTGACTATAATAATAGCTACATAGTATTAAATAATTTAGACTTTTACGAGGATAACGCGTTAACAGAGTGCGTATATTATACTTTGAAGTTAATTTATCTATGTATTCTTTATTAATCGTCGCGTCTATTGCAGCCCGCAGGTCTATTGTATATTTTATTTTTTATATTCAGATCTTTATAGTTAAAGCATATATCAGGAGTCATAAACAATGTCATAATTTTATTATAAGTATTAAATATGGTCTACAGATATACCCGTACATTGATCCGTGTAGGTGCTAGACTCGTAAATCGCGTGCTTGGACACCATTCGTTTGTCTTCACTCTTCCGGGCCGAACACACCTTGTCCAGCAGCCCTAAAATGAATAATTACGAGAAAGCGATCGTGAATATTCGGCGTCGACTGCTCATATACATATATATATATATATATTCGAACGTATACAATAATGTTGCTCACGTGTAGGCTCCTTACATTTGCTCGTGGACTTCCGGTGCTGCGCGCTTTGCTTCGGAGACGTGTGTTTCTTCGACCGCAGCGTGGAAAACTTTAACGACGAAAACATTGCGCCGTCGTCATGCTGATTCGCGGTACAGCGCAGTCAAAAGAGCGACACGACGAGATGACGGCGCGGTGTACACTAAACTGTATACTCTAGACACAGCCGTGTCGGTGATCCATTTGGCTGAAGTTTAATTTTGGAACACACGACTCACCGCTGTATACACCCGCGTCCCTTCCACCGATCCCGAAAACGACGAAAAGAAAATATATGATTTGAAAAAAAAAGTCTCCGTATATATTATGCAGTACGCAAATACGCCTCCGTCGTTAAAGTCGCCTTTTGCCAAACTGCACACAAAATAATAAATATCAACCTTTTCGTGTAAAAACAATTACAAAAAAAGGACAGGAAAATAAACAAATTAAAGAAATTCTATATTTGTTTTTATATACGTCCAAGGACTGGCGTTGACGCGTTTTGCGGTGGGGGAGTGAGTCTAATTATAGAGTGAAGGGATTGGAGACAGGAATAACGAATGAACGTGAAAGCTCATATATACAGTGACGTATGTTAATAATACCCAACTGTGTGATATTAAAATGTTTAGAGAAAAAATGTAGCTAAATTAATTAACAAAATAAACTGTTTTTTCCTAATGAATGGATGAAAATATATTGTTTTTAACAATTACAAAAACTATACTATTGAAAATTCATTCAATAGGTATATGTTTTATTAGTTTATTATTTTTAGTTTTTAGTTATGTAATTTATTCAATAGTATTATTCAACTATTAAACATTATTATGATTTTACTTTTGTTCTTTATATTGTACTGTTAAATGTTTTAATGTGATGCAATTGTTGAGCTATAATTATACAAAAAAAAAAAGATTTAATTTCAATAAACAATTGTTATTTAGTTTAAGCACATATATTATATATATATTTATTATTTATGTGTAAATATCAATGAATCCTCGATACACCAGTTATAACCATACTAACACAAGTGGTTTTACCTTAAAAACTAAAAAAAAAAATTCATGCGAATATGTCCAAGAAATATCTAAGTATGCCCTTAAAACAATAAAACATGATACTATGCATAATATATAAATTTAACATAAAAACGTAGAAAATGCTGGTTTCCATTGTTCAATATTCATTCAAAATGTACCTCACAATACAAAATACCTATTATAATAGATTATTAATAGAAATTAAACAATTTATATTCGAGGGAGTTGTAACTCTGTAAAAACATGAATGACACGCTTGTCACTTGAGTAGCGCGAACGAACACATGTACAAAATATATACACCTAATAAAAAACTTAATATTTAAAAAAATGTTCTTTGAAACCTAAAATTTAAGAACAACGACAAATTGTTTAAAAAAAATTATATTTGTTAAAAAAAAAACAACGCAGAAAATATAAAAACCAAAAATAAAATTTAATTGAACTGCTTCTACTCTAACTTGGTCTGCAATGTTCGTGGTTAAAAGAAAAATAATATATATACTATCATAAACATCTTAACCCAGCGAATAATATATATTAATTTATTGCTGTAATTTAGTAGGTAATTAATGATGACGATTATTGTTCTATAGTTATTAGTAGTATCGCGTATGAAAAAAGTAGTGAGTAAAAATATAGTGACCGATATGTAATTCTGTAATATTACTAAGTCAAGAACTTTATAAAAAGATATTAATATTAAAGTTAATTACCAGACACCAGATAATACGATAGATTACTGTAAATTGTAATATTATTAATTCTATCCAAATATTAAAAAACGATATAATATCTCATAGTATCTCAATCTAAATCCTGAGATATGATACGAATTGTGTTTGAAATTCTAACAAGCAGCTCTTTTAAAAATAAGATAATTTTTTTGTGTTATTTTCAGTCAAGTCATGGTAATTGGTAAAGTTAAAGGATTAAAGCTTTAAATCAAATATTCAAATATAATAGAGTATTTTTTTACCGATGAATATTTGCAATGCCATTAGTTTTAATTTGAGGTAAACTATCGGAGGTAAACTGTATATACCTCATACATAATATAGCCGTAATAATTGTTCTCCGTGACAAACATTATACACAAAATAAATCAATAATAATGTATAAGTACATATACCCCTTGTTCGACACCAATAATTTGAGCATATGTTTCGTACACGCCAGATTGACAGAGATAACTTTTTCGAATTTTCACAGTCATTATGCCTGCTGTACATAAACACATTTGACGTGCCTGCTCGTTGCAATACTATAAGTATAGTGTCGGGGAAACAACATTAACAATGTTTGACGGTTTGACTAACACAGAAAAAGTTGAAGCGTCGAAAACAAAATTATTGAAGACCAGCATGCGTCTCCAGTTCAACGAATTTTTTAACCACAGCACATTACATGGCGTTAGATATATAGCACAAAGCGATCGACCACTTCACGAACGGTATTTACATTAATTTGATTAATTTAACCATTCGTCTCATTGATAACCGATGACTGAGTAAAAAATATCCAATGTAAAAATGTAAATAAATTCATTGCACAGTGCGATTCACTCTCATTATTTTCTTTAACAATACATTTTTCATAAAAATTCTGATTTTTGGAATTTCTATAAATAAGTAACTCAAAGACAATATTGTCAAATACTTGAACTGTTTTTTTGAGCCCCGTGGTGATACAAACTTGTTTCCATCAGTTGAGGTTCCCTTTTCTACTGTAAGTTATTTAATGGACATTTTTCTCGAAAATGTTGTTGTAGGTACTTAATTCAAAATTTGAATGAGTAGTTTCTCTGTTATTACATTTTTTATTCTAATAAGGAATAAGGGTAATAGTCCTTAAAAATAGTTTTACAAAATTATAAAATAGATGTAATATTACAGGATCATATGGATCTAGTATTTATTGAACTTGGACTATTTTTACAAATTATTATAATTTCGGTAGATTGGTATTAATCACTAACATTTTTAAATCATCCATTATCGTGGACCTTACATTTTCCAATTTCCTTAGTAAGTGCTAAGTAGCAAGTACACACTACACATAGTTAAATGAGTAAAAAATTATTGCATATGTATTGGAATTTAGGTACACTCATAAGTTACAAATTGTTCTCTCTACATCTCACACCCAGTTTTCTGGTGTCGGAAGGGGCAAAAGTCCCTCCTTCCCCAAATAATATCATCGAAAAAGTGCATCATCTCGCCCCAAATTCCGCTTATGCCTAATGCCATAAACTTACATGGTACGTTTTCTAAACCTTTAAAATTTAAATGCATATCACTCATTTTTTAAATGTCCAATTGTAATTCAATGTATGACATTAACAATATTATAGCCACATTGTATAATTAAAACTCTTTAGAGCAACGAAAATTGCTTACAAATGATAAAATAATTATACTTTAAAAGAAAATATTCGTATTTAAGACTTACATATTTCAATATTTTTTTTTTATAGGTTCATGTGGTTTAGTTTTTTATCTGTGGGGATCGTTGTCACTTCTATCATTATAATATCGCTCTGGGAGAAGTTTCAAACAAGTCCGACCATCACTGGTTTAGATACGGACTTTCACAGCTGGGACGTACAATTTCCAGCTATAACGGTATGTCCTAAACGACCAACTTCCGATGAAAAAGTATGGGATTACGCAACGAGGTAAACAGATTTTTATATTGTAAATTTATAACCCAAGTATTTCTATAATAAATAGGGTATAAGGGGTATTTGTAACTTGTATTTAGAGTACAGAAATTGTATGTTTCTATTGCTGTATATTATTGTATAATGTATATATTATATACATAATATATGCATTTATTTTATCTAATTAATTACAAGGCTACTTCATCGATGTATGTATCGCAAATAAATATACGGTTGTACGTAATTATTATTTATTTGAATTTTGAACTATTGTGGACTGCAGCAAATAAACAATGATTTACGAGATTTGATGAATTGTAGGTACTACTGCATAATTCTTTAAAATGTAAAATATTGTTGATTGTTCCTTATCAATCATCAGTATAATGCCGCATTGACATGTGCCATTTTTTAAGTACGGTAAAATAAATTTTTATTATTGTGCATTACAGTTTTAAATTGATATTTCTTTAGTGTGTACGATAATAACACAGAAAATGAGCGAGCGGAGATATTTTTAAAATTTGTTAACGAAGTAGCTTCGTTCTCTTACGATAACGTCCAAATGTTTAAACAGTTTTCTGAATACGATTGGCTACCAAAGGATAAGTTCAAAGATTTAGCATACCAAGTAATATTTCGCTTTATTTTATACTAGAAACTGGCTACTATAGATATATAACTAATATAAGAACAACTTACTACTACTGCAATGTTTGACGCATAGGTAGTATATCATTGCGAGGACTTACTGTACGACTGCACGTTCAAAGGCGAACCATACAACTGTTGTTTGGGGTTTGAGCCAGTATTTACCGAATATGGATTTTGTTACACTTTCAATTCCAAACACGTTGTACCGGATTGGCCGTGGTAATGCAATTGATAATAACATAATCGACACCCAAAACAGTAGACGTTTTTCACAATACTCGTACCATTGAATTTATTTTTATGTATCGGTCGACAGGATGCCCGAAAATTATTCCAAGGCTGGCATAGAATACGTCTTCGAAACGGACAACAAGCTGACAATCACGTTTAACATGGACAACGTAACTAAAAACCCGTTAAAGGTAAGAATCATGTGCATTGGCACGAAGAGCACAACAAATTAATTTAGCTACACACGACATACCTGTAGGCTGCAGTGACCTATGATTTATGTTATTATTATTATTTATATTATCTATATTATTAATTTTATAACTGTAGCCTAAATTGTCCGTATTACTTACGACCATAGTATTTACCGTATACTACTATATATACTCAGTATACAGTATATAGACAACTAGACAAATAATCACTAGGTAGTAGGTAATAAGAGTACGGAAAGCGGCAAAACATGGAAGGCACTTTTTGATTATTCGATTACCTACTCGTACGCACGTAGGATGGTATATCACAGAGCAGGTGAAATTTCACATATTCTGTGACGGTACCTTATGCATAGGTATATTTAATGTCCATACCAAATGTGTTCAGTCTAAAGCTTAAGTCCATAATA